GCCAACTCTTGAGCTACTCTTTTACCAACAAATTTTGAGACTGACCATCACATTATAATGCCCCCATAGCTGAGAGGGTGAACATGTTTTGTGGGACAGGGATTCGAACCCACGACCCACAGATTGTGAGATGAGCACCCTAACCACCTGGCCATGGTATAAAATAAAATAAAGTCAAAAGGAACCACTTCGTGAGAAAAAACATTTTGTTTGTCACACTGGAAGCACTAGGCACACAAAAGAGTATGTCTGAACTCAAACACTACTAAAAGAAAAGTGTAGGTTTGGTAGAGGAATGTAGAGGGAGTCACATGCGTCACGTGAGCATATCATGCTACTATTGGTTAGGAGATGACACATGATGATTTACATGAGAGACATGTTGGAATATAGTAATTCCAACAGAGGGGGAGTGAAAGTCTTGTGGCATGTATAAAGAAAAAGTTTACATATAGAGGGCAGCACTGAACGAGAATAGTTAACCTTGTGAGGGGAGATAAGTACCGTATTGGAATTTAATCTGTCATCCATGTATTCAGGTGTTTCAAATCCAAACAGCTATTTATTATTACAAACATGCATTTCCTATGGCTACAAGATTAACTAATCTGTATATGACTATGAATTAAGTAGAGGTCAATCAGAAGTGAAACAAGGTGATTACTTATCGTAAAATACCTGCACCAACAGGTTTATGACAATTGTTCTGAGAACATCATTCACAGTAGGAATGGAAGTATTCAGAGTGATTTTTACTATAGTCATGTCAAGTCACAGTTCTCCAAAACGAAGTCACATAGAATTATCAGAATCTTTAATATGTGATCATTCATTTATACAAGAAGACAATACATATATACTACAAGTTATTGATTTGAACAAAATTATGATTTATGTAGAAATGGTGACATAACATACCACTCTGATTATGCAATTTTTATAATTACTGACAACATATGAAAAAATAAACTGCTCAGTATTTTGTACATAAAGTTTACCAGTTATATGCCCACCCTGACTAGTTACATTTATTAATCGATAATGCATGCTTTTGATAGTGCTTCCTTTCTATTCAAAGTGACTGATTCAACTATCTAGGTATCTTGATAGTATGGAAGAAATACTTGATTATAAATGCATCCAGATTAATGAGGTTTCACTGAATATGCACATAAGTAATGGGATTTTATCAAAATTCAGTATATTTATAACATGGTTGTAGCAATGGCCCTTGAAGCCCACATTTTAACTGTGTATATTAAATTAACAAAAAATAAACAAAAACAGACAAACAATAACCCCTATTCTATTTCAATGCTAATCAGTAGAAAAATTTGTTAAATTTACCCAGGGCTAATCTGGGTGGCTGGGACACAATAAACACAGTAATGGTTGGAACATTATTTATATAAGCCATAAGATAAGTTAACTTACAATGTTTGAATCAGTGGAGACTCCTACAAACTGCTTAACCGTTGCATCTAGATCAAATACTGGAAGACGTCTCTCACGTTTTAACTAAATGAAGAGTAAAATCTGAATTAAAAATATGTTTTTAAGAGTTGACTAAGAACCAAGGTTAAATTAGATGTTTTTATCAATTTTCCATCACTGAATTGCCATAAAAGATGTATAAACATTTAGAGTACTGATCAAGTCATTCTCTCAAAATTAAATAATTTCTTTAACTGTAATTGAATTGTACATAATGAATAGAATATTTTAACTAGTTATACTTGTCATAAAACATTAGTATAAGGCCTATTAAATGTTCTAACACGGAATTCTTTATCTTTTCCCTTAGGGAGTTTCGAGAATTAGAGGAATGTATAATAATAGAATTCCAACCACAGTATGTTCATCATATCCATTGCTGACAACGCATTTCACTCAGTCTAGAACTCAACAGGCCGGCTGAGGCACAACAAACACAGTAGTGGTTGGAATACTATTTATATAAGCTATTTGTTACAACAACACCTGTGATGGTGTGAATACCTTTTATAAGTTGACAAAGCATGATTATAATATATTTTATTTGTCAAAAGACATTAGTATTAAACATAGAGAGAGTATTTTCTTCATAACAGATTTACTATGTAAGCTAAATATATTGTTGCTTCTTAAAACCTGTCATGTACAACAAAACGTTTCAACTATTATGTCTATAATCTTGCAATTTATGTATTAAGATGGGGAAAGCATTTTCTTTAACTCTCTCTCACTATAGGTAGGTCAAAGTGTGCATGTCATGACCTTTTAGAATTACATTCAAAATTTAATGAAACTACTTTATTATCACTGTATACAAATAATTTTTTTTTCATTTTAGTTACTTTTGTCTTCTTTTTTTTTTGCTGATGACTGTTGATGAAACTTAACCCTACTTTTTTTTATAATAATGGTACTATTACACTAAATAAATTTTTATTTAATTAAATAATGCACAATACAGAATAATAACATACAAAAAGTAAACAATGTTTTATAACTATCATAATTTTTCTGGCATTCTAACTATGCAATAAGAGCTTTTAAAAATTCAGCTAAGTTAGTCGCTGTGATTCCCATGAAAACAAATTTGAAACTGAAGCAGAAATTAGACAATTCTTTGTACAGAAACAATGTAATATAATACATTATTTAATAGATTAAAACTTTGGCTTTCTATGGGTTATGAATAATATAGTATAAAACATCATAGAGGATGTGACAGGTGGGCATGGCAAATGGGTCTGATTTTTTAGTTTATGGCTGCGTAAACAAATAATTTTGAAGGCAATAAAGAGTATGCTTTGCCTGAATAGTATTTATATTATAGTAAATAATTTATGTTAAATTCCATACTTCTTAGAGGAATTGTACACAAATTAGAGAAGACTTAAAGAGCAAATGTCACAATTCTCATACAAGGGGAGATTAAGGATCGTCTTTAATATTTCCTTATGAAGTTAAGAACATAAAATTTATATAATATTAAAATTTGATTTATTAACTATGTTTTGATGCCAAATATATTTGTATGCAATGATAACAAAGTAGTTTAATTAAATTTTGAAAGTTACTCTCTAAAATGTCACAACATGTGCACTTTGACCTACCTCTAGTGAGAGGGTTAAGTATAAACAGATGTATAATGTTACAAACTTTGAGTTATTTAAGATAAACAATCACTGTGTCCAGTTACAATCTGTAGTCATCCTAGAAAGAAAAAAGTAAGTTAGATTTATTTTGTATTTTTTTATATTGGTTATAGATCAGTCGATTCAACCGATTGCATATAAGGTTAGGGTAGAGAAAATAACAGATGAGATACAAAGTTTTAATGAAAAAAAAAATTTGATATTTAGGAGGTTTTAGAGATTATGCAAATGAAATTTGACAATTTTCAGATGAAGAAAAGTATTTTTGACCTTAACATGAAAATCATTTTGCAATCGAAGCAGTCAGCACTTTGACTCCATATATTCACAAAGAAATGTTTTGTAAAAATACTTAAAAACCTGATTTTTTGTGTAGAAAAGACTTGTAATGTTTAATGAAAGCTTGCTAAATTTGGTGAGGATGCACAAATCATATCAAAAATTATGTATGGAAACTCTAAAGGTCAATTTGGGGTCATGAACTCAGTCGAATTGACTGAGCCAATAATGAGAGAGTTAATTTTATCTAACTAGTAATCTTGCCACAAAAGTAGTAAATCACTAGTTTTAGTATAGAAACCCTAATGGTCACTTTGTGGTTATGAACTTAGCCAAATCAACCAAGCCTATAGCAAGTGTGTTAATCTCTCTAATTTTGTTATTCCTATTTAATAAACTTAGATCGCTGAGGTTAGCTTACACATTATAATAGGTAACATAAGTTTTCCATGAAACACAGACATACATATTTGATGGTGAAATCACGAAAATCAAAGGAGTTTACCTCATGAGTTGAAAAAAGAGGATATATTTATTTTAGAATCTGAGAACAACTGATGACACAAATATACTTTAACAGCATTTACTAGGTTATATGACCAATGCCAAGACAAGCTACTGGTCAGAAAGGATAAATGAGTATGTAATTTAAAAATAAGTTGTTGTTTTTACGTATGTAAAATAATTTCATGATAATATGTCTAGACTTTTCAATAAGGAAGAAGATTATGTCACAGTTTTACAGAATTTAATAATCTCTAACTGATAAAAACACTTCAGTAGTACATTCTGCTGTGAACTGTCATTTTTTTAAATTTCAACTCTTAAGGTAAAACACTTTAAATTACAAAGTAACCAATACATAAAAGTACAAAACATATACCATGCTCACCTGTCTTACAATAAGTTTCCTTCTTAAGCGCTTGGCTTTTGGATTGTTGTCCAATACAGAAGAAACCTTTTCCAACTGTCTAAGTAGCTGCTGTTCTTCATAGGTGCTCATTGGCACAATCCTAAAAATATTTTAAATTTTTAAGTCTTTAAAAATCAAAAATATAAAAGACATATTAAACTAACTTAAAACACCTAGTAATTCAGATGATAATTGGCTTAAGATTGCTTTCCCAACAGTTTCAGAAGCTGAAGTACTTTACAATTCTCATTGGCACAGTTCTAAAAATATTTTGAATTAATTAAATTGATACAAATCAGAAACAAAATAAGTACATGAAAATACCAGAACAAAATCTATTATTTTATACTGATGTAATCCAGTTCTTCTGAAAACAACTACAATTTCTTAAAGTACCATCAGTCATCAGGGAGATGTGCCCAAAATGTATTTCTCCATTTTTTTTATATCTTTTCTTCTCTGTGATTATTGATACAAATTTCCATAAAATATAAATTTTTTTTCTGAATGCTTGAAAACACAGAAAATTACATGTCCATCTACATATAAAAATTAAACAATGTTTCTTGTTTTAAAAGTAAATAATCAGTGGCTAGAGTAAAAGATTATACATATTATAAAGTGATCACTGTTTATGTACTAAATGAAAAAACATACACATCCCTAATTCATAAAACTTAAATTTTATTAGCCACAAGTCAGTATCAGCTGAGGGTTGCTAGTCAAAGTGTAACAAATGTAAATGTAATCTTTATTTTTATTACATATACATTTATCTTTGTAAGCCTCATAATGTATAGGAATTTTCATCCCGACCAACACTTTATAAGCACATGGACTAAATTGTGAGGTCAGACACCCCTAATCATTCCTTTTAGATATAACTGTCCCTACTTTTGAGCCAATGACATGAACAGCAGTTGGTCAGCAGCACTCACCACCACAAGGGCATTTGCTGGCTGAATAATGTCATGTACATACAGCGGAATGTGTGAAGAATGTTCAACAGCAATGTGTCACAAATCTTAAACCTTTCGATCCACATCCAGTTCTAGCTTTACAAGATTTTAGAAATTTAATTATTTTATACCAAATTACTTATATTCTTCTTTTATAAAGCACAAAAATACACATTTTTAAATGCTGTTCTTTAAAGGCATCCATTTTTATATGAAAATATAACAATTAACATTTTTCTAAACTGAAAATGCATTTCCGATAGATACTTAACTCCTCTAACAAAAAGTTTTCTTGGCTAGTACTGCCCTCTATTAGCACAAATTTTTCACTCGCCACTAGCCTAGTAACTCCGACTTCTTTCTGCATATCAACATGTAAATGATCATGCAACAACCTTTCACCAATAGGAGTGTGACACTACCCTATTGTAACTAGCACCCTCTCTAATCATGCACCTGTTAATCACTTTGAGATTGGTCATAACTAAGTCATCCAAATTACATACCAGAAGTGGGGAGGATGGATGGAAAATGTGAGAGGGATAAGTATCTGTCAGAAATACATTTTTAATTTAGGAAAATGTTAACTTCCAATACAATATCTTCCCTCCACTTACAAAAAGCTAGAATCCTACACTGAACTGGTGGAGGGCTGGTGATAATATGAACCTCCTTTACGAAGCGGCCAAAGAAATACCATGACGTGTGGTAAGGAATTAGAAAATAAAACACTCTGAGCCAGGTATACTCTTCGCTCTTTAGGAATGTGTCACCAAAATGTAAAGGACAGGAACATGGAGGAGTCCCAAACAAAATACAATAGTAATGGGACCCCTAGGTGTTGAACGTAAAAGGGGAATTCAATCTCACCCAACACCTGGCACATCTGGAATTGTACATCAGGTCCATGGTAGGAAGAGGGTCCACTACCTTTCACCTCAAAAACAGGTACCAGTAGGAAAGAAGAATTTCCATACCAAGAACCCATCTCCAAATGTGTGTACCTCCAACACAACCAACACCTGATCTACTGGGAACTGATATCTAGCAAATGGTAGGAAGTAGGAGCCCAGGTGGGTGTTCATCTCTGGTCCAAAACCTGGCACCATTGGGAATGTGTTGTATAGTCCATGGTAGGAGGAGGGTACCCAGCCTTACACAAGCGGGAAATCATGTCTTGTCCAACTACAACCAACACCAGATCAACCAGGAACTGACATCCAGCAGACTTTAGAAAGAGAGACTGCAATATTGGGGTTGTATCTCTAGTTCAAAACCTGGAGGCATTGAGAACTTAGCATCCAGTCCACAGGAGGAGGAGGGTACCAGCCAAACACATGTAAAGAATTATATGGCTGCACCAACTCTAACCAACACCTGATACACCAGGAACCAACATCTGGGAGGATGTTAGGAAGGAAGAATGCCTCAGCTAGAGGGGCAAACTGCAATTTATATATATAGACAGGTATATATGGCAGAGTACTACAACCAACACCTGGCAGCCTCTGAAATTGTATATCAGTGCCACGTCATCAACACCAGCAGAATGCCAATGCCCTACTCTCAAACTGAGTGGTATTAAGTGCCCTCAGGAGGACAGGCCTCCATGGTCCACCACCCTAGCAGCTAGGAACTGATAAGTGGCAAGGACTCCCATACTCCACTAAAAGAAAGGCGGAAAATTCATTGGAGAGTCCAGAGGACTGCAGCACCAGAGACAGTGCAATGGGTGATATTGATGCATATATGACAAATGAACAGAGTCAATCAACCAATAACAAGGCCCCTGTAAAGAAAAGAAAAATAAACTAAGTGCTTACCAGTCACAAAGAAACAGGAGTATGCAGAATAGTGACAGGAGGTAAGCAGAAACTCACAGAAAATGAAATGGCCTTGTGATGTAGGTAGTGAGATGTAAGATGTAAAGGTATACGAAAAGTATATGTCCTCCGAAAGGAAATGGAAATGGGCAGCTAAAGACAATGTCAGGTGATGGATCTTATGGGAAAAAACATGAAAAAGGTGACAATCATCCATAAAAATGGAAGGATATGCCAGGGAATTAACTAGCAAATCCATAAGGGTGATGAGAGAAAGGTCACAGGAAATGTTAGAATTCCAATGAATGAATAAACAAACAGACACTGGAATCATGGAAGGGAGCAGTGCGTGTCATATACCACCTGAGGGTCCTGACTAGGCAAAAGAGGTGATCAGGATCAGAACAGTCGTACTGGTAGGATATGGAAGGAAGGGAAATGGGAGTGAAAGCAGAATTACCCTCCTGAGCAGCTAAAGTCTTGGGCATAAAGGAATGGCTTGGTAAAAAGGAGAACATAAGAACTATGGAACAAGACATGGCATAACATCAATCTCAAACACATTGGAATGAGAGCAACCATACTCCAACAACAAGAGGAACAGGGACTACAATGAAAGGTGATATAAGGAAGATGACAACAAAGGTTCAAATGGAGGATGAGTAAGAGCGTGATGGAAAACATTGAGATTCCAATCTGGGAGAGAAGTAGGGTGGGGAGGATGAGCAATGGAGAATGAATAAAATAACATAGACAGTACAGGAGATTGGAACACTGAAGTAAATTTGGTAAACCAAAAGGTGGAAGCTAAAGCTGCCCTATAGCCCACAACAGAGGAAACCAATAAGCTCCTGTCATAAAGCCAAGTGAAAAAAGAATGGAAGGTTGTGAAGGATGATAACCTCTTATATAGCCCAACAACAGTATGTATACCATTTATGCTGATAATCAGCCAAAGAGGAGGGTCAAACTGGATGGGAAATCGAGAAAGCAACACACCTAGAAAGTCCTCTCCATCTGGCGAGGGAGCAGATGAAAGCCACACGTGAAAGTGGAGTACAGGTATGGATGGATGATGCATCGCAGAGTGAGGCTGATGAAGGAGTGTGCAAGACAAAGGCAGGGGAAGGGGAGTTGAAACCACCAGCTGATGCAGAAGTGGACACCACATCTGAGCCAGCCAATATGCTCTCAGCAGCAGAACTCAACATGGAGTGGTCTGAACTATTGATAGAATAGGAGGAAGAAGATGAACAGGAGGATATGCACAGAGATAACAACCCATCCAATCCTGACTGAGAACATCCACTGCTTTTGCCAGTGGATAAGGAACAGGAGACCTTAAAATGGAGAAGTTGTGTATTGAAATGAGAAGCAAAAGCATTCTTATAAGAGACACTCCAACAAGTGCACAACTCCCCAAAAATGGTAAAATCTTGTCAGGTTGGGATAACCAATCTGCAACCAGATCCAGGGCACCCAGAATATGACATGCCAGCAAAGTGATTTGATGGCTGTAGGCCCAGTAGGGAAGATTCAAAGTTTCAAAAATAAAGATTTCTTGACTGGTACCTCCTTGCCTGTTGATATAGGACACTACCGTCAAATTGCCAGAGTGCATCATCACCATCTGTCCCCGAAGAATAATACTAGGTAGAACACATAGGAAGCCAAGGCCAGGCCAAATAGAAGCACCCAAAACTGAACCCCCCCCCCCCGTGATGAACAAAATGAAGGAAATGTCTGTATGCCAGGGAGATGAGAATATGTAGATATGCAGCAATTTCCCATCTTTTGGGGAATGACATACAGACGAGAAGGATCTCCTCATTTGATGGCAACCTTGAGAAGTAAGTCCCAAACCACCCCCGACAGATACTGGCAAGAAATGAGATCCTTCGGAGGGGAAGGAAATTGGATGGTGAGATGAATGGAAGTGAAGAGCCAGATCTTCAAAAATGGTTTTCAAAAACCATGAATTGTCTGTAAATGACCTCCAAACTTGAATAAAGTGCAAGAGTCAGGTCCCCACTGGCCCTGGCCCAAGTCACCAATGCTGTAGGCCCCAAAAACGACATCAGCTAGTATAATGACTGCGAAATGCAGATGTACAAGAAGCTGGGACTGGCAAAGGGTTAGAAAAGGGGGAGGCAAGCCATTGATAAAGGAACATGAGGGTGGCATAAATGAAAAGCCAATGAGGAAAAGGAGTTATGTTGACAGACTAATTCAACCCAGATCTCCAAAGAGTAGTGACCAGCTGAAATTGTGAGTGCACACTCACAAAGTTAAAAACTTGAACAAATAAAAAAAACAGAAAAAGTAGTAAATAATGTAAGTAAAAACGCAACTCTTAACAAAAAATTAATGAAAGTAAAAACTCATGAAAATATAACAAAAGCATAAGTGAAAACAAACACATCTTCACAGTAAGACTGCCAATCAAGAAGTGATTAATAGGTGCACGACTAGAAAGGGTGCTAGTTACGATAGGGGTAGTGTCGCACACCTATTGGTAGAATGTTGTTGTATGATCATTTACATGTCAATATGCAGAAAGAAGTGGGAGTTACAAGGCTAGTGGCGCCAAAAAATTGTGCCGATAGATGGCACTACTAGTCAAGAAAGCTCTATGTGAGAATAGGGAGGTATTGTATCGGAAAGAGTAACTTGTTTTACATATACATAAAGAGTTGCATCTTTTTTTCTTTATTTTGTTGTGACTTTTCTTCACTTAAGTGTTTCCTAGAGCTAAAGGTTCCTGAAAAAAAGAGACGTCCATTAAGAGTTTCAATACATACATTCTTAATAGTCCAAGGTTTCACCTTTAAGCTATAAATCTTTTTAGAATATAAAATTATCAAAAAATAACTTCTTTTTACAAGTTTCACAGCATAAGTTTCAATATAAATTTTCTGTGGTTTTTTTTATGTTTATTTTCCTATAAAATCTTTAATAAGTACTTTTGAATGAATACTTAAGATCTCACATTGGAATGTCTGTTTCATCTGGCTTTTTTTCATCTTCATTTGGGGTTGACTTTCGTTTTTTGTTCTGTCGAACAAAACTTTCAGTTTCATCTTTGATTTTGCTATCTGTGGAGTCAACTGTATTTTCTTCTTCACTCTTCACAGTTTCTAACTTTCCAGCACTTGGAATACTGAGATTGGATACTTCACTATGGGCATCGTCTACTTCTTCAGATTTAAATACATCTATATTATTCTGTTCTAATGTCTCTGATGTTACACAAGCTGTTAAAAACAGATATCAGTTACAGATATTAAATAGTTTACTGAAAAAGATTGTTGCATAATACATAACTTTATTAAATACTACATTTGTAGTGTGCATAAGAAGTTAAGTCATTTATAACATATCACAGAATATAGAAAATTTTTTGAAACTAAGTGCCTTATTAATAATTGCTAATTGTTTCACTGCTTAGTTCAGATAATAAAGCACTTACCAAGCATTCAGAGGTTTCGAGTTTAATCCTAAGCTCAAGAGATGCAAAATTAGGAAAACCACAAGATATACTGACACTCAACAAATGACTAAACCCATGACCCTTAGATAAGGCCCGAGGATGGCTATTATTTGTGAGAGAGGAAGAATTTTGTAGTTTGAATGTTAAAAAAATTGCCTCACTAGTAACTGTTAGCAGGCTAACCGTTTAGTTCAGTTGATAGAGCACTTGCTTGGTATGCAGAAGGTCTCTAATTCAATACCAAGTTGAGAAACTTTCCCCATAACCAAAGATCCTCAAAAAATCCATACATTTTTTCTTGAATTTTGTCTTGGTGTTAGTACTGGTATATTCTGAGCAAGCAGGAATAGTTAGAACCCACAAAATGCCTAAATTTATACCTTTTTTTTAATATTGAAAAAATAACTTATTTCAGCTTGAATAGCATACATTCATGTATAAATGACCAATTTACCATTTTTCAAAACAAACCTACTTAGTAGTAATAGCACATTACATAATGTATTTTAGATGTCTCAATATGAAAAATAAATTAGAAATGGCATTTCACTTTCAAAGACGAATATTCTTTACAAAACATATTTACACTGCAAATTCATTATCACGTGTCTTTCTAATTAGCAAAAGATATTTGTATGGCAAAATAGGAATTTGAAGCCTTCTACCTCTACTTTTTAATGTGAGTCAAATGTTTAATACATAATGATGTCACATTCACAGAATTTTGTGACACTAAAGAAAATGAAATGTTGCAATTCACACAACCATCATCTCTATTGTAACAAATTAAGTATATCTTCTATCTTCTAGCCTGTGAGTTGCTGCTTTATCTTTAAAGCCTATTACAAGCCTGAATTAGTGGTTGCTAGTGCAGAATTGATTTGATAAAAGCACACCTGTCTGGGTGACATTTCCCACAGAGTGGGATCCTGTGAAAATGAGGTAAGGGACTCCGAAAGGTAGCAAAGAAAATACTAACCCCTCTGTATAATCTAGCAGAAGTGATTAAGACAGATACAGGGGTAAGTAAAAACCCTCAGATGAAGACATTGCCAGGTCATGCAAATAATGTGAGATAATATGGGGAGGTCCACATACAGTCTTCACGATGTCTTCCAGCAGGCAATCCAACTGGGCCACTAATGACAAAGAAATGTGCCAAATCTGACTAGTTATGAATCACAGACAATTCCTCACCTTCAAAGAGCCCAGAATAAAAAGTCATTGACTAGAATCTCTAAAGGCATTAGTGCAGACAACAAAACCTTCAAGACCCTCACTGAACATGACAATGATAAAAATCTGATCAGACATAGAAGTGAGAAATAGTGATGAGATGAATCAGTGTAAAGGATTTATCCCCTTCCCTGTCTGACAGTGTCTTGGGTAAGAAGAACCAGTTTGAGGACACAGATAGAATGAGAAAGCAGTCTGTGGACAAAGAGCACAAACCACTCTGATCAGCAACATCTGTAGGTGTGCAGCAACAAAAAATAAACCTTCAGGTAAAGGTGATACATGGCATGTGAAAGTTAGATCACAAACAGGTGTTGATAAAGGGCATGTAATATAACCTTACTATATCAGTTAAATAACTGGAATGGCCATTTGGGATCAAGGACCGAAAAGACTTGAAGAATCTGAAGAGTACTGGGGACTCAAATAATTTTTTCACAAGTGTTGAACAATAGTCGATAAGGTTGCCTTATACAGGGCAAATGTGGAAGATACAAAAACCCTTGCCAAAGAGCCAGGTTAAAAAATGAGTTATGGTTGGCACTTCTGATTGAAGTGGGTTCAACCTCCTCTCAATACACCATTGCCAATATCCATGTCATTTCCATTGACAGATTTTCATCACAGGATTAAGCAAAGACTAAGTCAGATACATGACAACCTTAGAAATTAAACCCTTACGTTGTGCAAAAGACTGCATAACCTCTATGCCTGAAGCTTGAGCTTCCGGATAGCCAGGTGTAATATGTCAGATCATGGCTGCCTCCAAAGTGTTGGCCTAAGAAGAAGTGGAAGAGGTAGACATTCTGGAAGGTACTGCAGAAGCAGAAACCGGGGTTTGGATTCCAATCTGGTGCTATCAACAGGACTTGACAAAGGGTTGGAACAAATCATATTTAGTACCTTTAGGTAACATATGAATTTGAGGGAAGGCCTTGAGTTGTGATACAGTCCTGTCCTGATGGAATGCATCCATTGCCAAAGACCAAAGGTGAGGTACTGGAAACCAAATTGCCAGTTCCAATGAGAGCCAATCCAACAGAGCCGTGTAATTCAGCATATATTCTGTTTGGAGAATCTGTTTGAGTTGAGATAATTGATCTGCTACCATAGTCATCACCCGTGGAACGTGGCAAGCTAGTAGATGATATGATAGGAATGGTTCTGAAAAAGGAGGTCCAAGATTTGAAGGTGCCCTGGACCAAGTGCCTACTTGATGAAAAATACAAGACACCACTAAGGAATTGTCAGAGTGAAGCTTGATGATTTTCCCCTTAATAAGCTCAAACCATGAGGCATTTCCTCTCGAAGAACAAGAATGACTAAAACATTGTGTAGGGAAGACTCGCCAGCTGTGCATAGACCCTAGAATTCCTGATTATTGGTATATGCCTCCTATCCCTGAAGCAAGGCATTTGTGAAGTGATGAAACTCTAGACGAGATGGCAATAGAGGAACCCAGCTCTTAGTTGTGTCCCAATTTAACAACCCCTCGAGATCGAAGAATGATCCCAACTAAGGAAAGTGGCGAATCCAGTGAATCAATATTTATGATCCCTTGGTTGCATAAAGACCATTAAAAGGATCTCTTGTGCTCTCATACCAAAGGCATGAGAGATTCGAGTGATGCCCACATTCCCAGAAGAGAAAGTACCATCTTTGCAGTGGGAGAAGGAAAGGTGAGTAAAAGTTAGGCTTCCTGTTCCATAGCATGGAGCCAGATGGGAGTTGGCCAAATCTGACTGAGAAATGAGATGAAAAATAAAATATACCCAGACTGAAAATATATTGAATTGGAGCAAGAACAGATGTTTCAGCCATGAGAATGAAGCCTGTCTTGGTAGTTTCTGAAAGCAGTATCAGGATGTGATGTTCTGACAACTGACAATATGGTGCCAGCAGTAACCAGTCATCTAGTGGAATGTTGTGTGCACAGTGCAATGGAATGGAGGTAGCAAGAAAAAACTAATACGATACAGCAGAACCCATATGAAAAAATGCCGATAGTGGTGGGATGCCACAAATATGGCAATGTGCAGTTAGGAGCTGACTACAATGAACTTGGACATCCACAACCCCAGTAAAAATGTCAACTTAGATTGGGGAATGAATAAGTAGTGAACCTTGGAGAATCTAGGCATTGATATAGACGAGAAAAATCAATGACTGGACACCAATCTCCTGTCTTCTTAGCCCCAACAAGTGATGAGAATAAAACCTCAAAAGAACTAATACGACCCTTTCACTACCCCTAGACCAACCAAACTCTGATAACCCTAGAACTAAGTTCAAAATCCCGAGGATCTGTGGGAGATGAAAACCCAACAGGTATAGTGGATAACGTGATGAAAATGTGAAGTGAATTACTAATCCTGTCTCAAGGACCTGTAGTGTTTCTGGATCCTTGGTTAAGGTTACCACACATCCAGAAAGTCTTGGAGCTGAGCCCCTACATACCCTGAAGGCATACAATAATTACCGGTGAACAGCAAAATCCTTTGACATAGAATCTATTCTGGGTACCAATGTACAGAGGGGCTGGTGTTGGGGGTCAGGACCCACGAATAGGGTCAGAACTATGACCCCCTGTAGGAGCCAATGAAATCTGAGATGCCAACAACAACAAGGATGAATATAGAAACCAACAACTGAACCAATGTGCATGCTAACAATAGTACCAGCTCGTCATCAATGAAATTGGTGATCCTAAGAGTTCCAACAAAGTGAAATAAAATGAAAATAAAATGTTGGATTTTAGAGTCATAAGTTTGTAGATTTACCCTGTCCCATTAGAGGACATTGATCTATTTGGGTTAACTGCAAACTGTCTTAGAACCACGAAATTCGAAGAGCAAATGTATTATTTGAGAGTCAGAATAAGCTTCCACCTAGCGGTGATAGGCTAACTACATGAACCACAATGTCCATGGATGGAGAGAAAACTAGAAATTTTTTCCCAGACCTTTCAGCCATCAAGTAAGGTGCAGGCTAAAAAGCAACCAGGAAAAGACCCAAAACATAACACTCTCAATGAACCAACTGAAGAAAACAAATCAAAGGCAGCTTATCCTAAAGTGACAACATTATCTGAATGAGGTGCTTATATACAGTATCAGGATAGAGGCCACATTGACGTAGGTGGAGAGTGGCTCGAGACAAATATCGCCAAGGGCAGTTAAGTGGGGTATAAAAGACTGGAGGAAGACAGAAAAAATCAGACCAATGCTTAGATGGGCAAAAGAATAAACCCTGGCAGTCAAGTAATAGCTGTAAGTGTGTTGTGAAAGTAAAAACAAAAATGAAATAAAGAGAAGCAGAAATAATAGCAAAAAAAAATACAAATCTGAGATTTAAAGCTGTTGATTGGTTAAAGATTCTACCTGTTGTTATGGTGAAAAGCTGATCCATATTCAACATCTGCTTTAAAAGATAGCATATGTGCACAGACCATGCACAAATGTAATGGCATAACAGTTCCTACAATGGGAATCACTTTTAGTATATATACACCCAGAGAAATCTAGGTTATCCAAAGAGGAGTAAAAACTACCTAGTTTTACAAAATATCTAATATTTGGAAGAGTAGTTAACTTTAAAAAGGTTGTATGTATGTATGGATATTTACCATGAAAGGTTCAGATGATACATGTAAACAAATGAAACATACCTTGCAATACAATTGCATTTAAGTTCCTTCAAGTAATTACTAGAAGCATTTGTACTGAATAAGTTATAAAAAAAAAGTAATATGCTTATGCATCATTCCTCATATAAAAATACATCTGCAGATAACATTCATGGCAATTTGTTTAATACTGATTTAAGTAGTTTGTTCATACAAAATACACTATAGCAGAATCTGCCATTAGTTGTAACATTAATTGAAGAATAAAACCCTGAGACTGACAAAATATTTACTGATCGTGACTTAGACATTCAGATGATATTACTTAGTCCAGTAGATTAAAGCTGAAGAAGGTAACAAACACAATGTTTTATGTCCACTATAAGCATTCACTTAAATCTACATCAAACTTGTACTATACAGTGTACCTTCAGCAGGTAATGTAGATATCAATTCCTCCACTGCCATAGAATTCTTCGATGTAGAAAGCAGAACATCATTTCTTGTAAAGTCAGTCAATACATCAATATCCAGCAAACTGTCATCATCATTACTATCACAGAGAGACTGGTCCAATAAGTCTAAAACGGGTTAAATAAAAGAATTCTATCTTTTACATTACATCTATAAAGTTAATGTATGAACAAGAAATATGAGAAGTATATTATAATTTCACTATGTATTATTAGTAGATGTGTGATTTTCTGTCTATACAACTTCTACTCAGTCAATCTGCATTTCTTTCTTAGGAAAATTAAAAACAAAAACTATCATTGTCTGGAGGCAAATGGAAAGAATGTTAGATCATAAAATGAAATTAAAAAAGTCGTTATTTTATCAAATATTATTTTACACTTAAATCCCGTCCTTATGTGTGTATGTGCAATACTTTTTTTAACTTTCTTAATCTTGATTCTTGGCTACTTCAAAAATTGGGGTTATTTATGTTAAGCTGTATGCAACTCAACAAGCATTTATGAAATCATTTTACAACTTCAGACTCAAAACTGTCTCTAAAGTATGCTGTCATAGATGCTAAGCACATCATCACAAAAACTAAGTATTGGGGTATACAGTCTTGCAGGCCCGATCAGCTTGCATCTTGATCAATAGCAGAAACATACCAGATAATGTATGAACATTTGGCTCAGTTTTTAACTTTCGGTTTTACTGATTTTGTCTGGTGTCCATAATTATAAATGCACTGTGTATGAAGAATTATTTTAAAATTTATTTAAATTAAAGAAACTCTTCAGTACATTATCTCAATTAGATTAGTGAACAAAAATAATTTTACTTGTGAAGTTTCTGTTATTGACAACTTATGAGAATAGGCTGGCAGGAAAACCAAGTATAAAACTTCTAAAAAAATCATTATCAGAGAATAAGCTCATTTAAACTCATGAATTTTTTCAACAGATATGTAGGATGAGTTTAAGCTAGGAACATTATTTAAAGTTAAGTGTAAAGCCAGCAATGTAAAACAATAATTCATCACAGACTTTATTACCTTCCATAGCAGATTTGTTTGGTAACTCAAGAGCAGTAGAGCATCTGACATCTGGTTTAGTTTGTACATGTTCACTGAATTCCACATCTACAGATTCAACAGTTTCTTCCTTCAACAAGATGGCAGGAGGACATTCTGAAACCTCCATTGGTGTGGATATCATTTCCTGAGCTGTAAAATCTAGCAACTGGTGGGACTGGAAATCACTGCCATTAAGAGATATTGTAAAAGGAGATTTGTAATCACTGAAACTACTACAGGCATCAATACTTGCAAAGGCAGCTGTGGAGGTATCTTTTTGATGAGAATCGTCCTGGCAGGCGTTCTTCATGGCTTTTCTAATATCTTTAGCTTCCTGAAAGTACAACATACTTAACATAACTATTGATTAATATTATACTTCCAACTTCAATTCTAATCAATAACTAAAGTAACATAACAAAAAGAATGACTCCCAATTTTTATTAAAAATGGCGTGCAGTTTAACAATTTCGGGGTGTGAATTGATCTGTTACAAACACAAGTCACTCTTTTTATTATATAAAAAGAAACTACTAGAGGATATAATTAAAAGGATGTGCCCCTAGGAGTAGAGTGGCTATGGCACGACAGACCATACACGGCAAGTTAACTACATGCAAAACCCATGCCACTGGGAACAACATCCACACAGGTGTAGGATGAGGACCATAACATTGGTAAGTCAACTAAAGTCCAAAACTCAGCCACTGGGTACCAACATCCTTGTGGGGGTATGAAAGAGGATCATACCAGTAGCAAGTTAACTTCAATTCAAAACCCAGCCATCTGGTGGGGGGTAGGAAAGAGGATCATACCGTCTGCACCTCAAGTTCATGAGACTGGAGGGAATCTCTTTCCCCCTGACCAATGAACAAGCACATGATGACAATATGAGAAATTGATTGACCGATTTGGGAACCCAACATCTAGCATCAAAAAGGTGTCCATGTAATGTAAACCATCTCACTCAAATATAAAATGACACGCCTGATTGAAGAATGTTTTCCATGGGACGAAGAAAATAAGATGCTAATGAAAAGGTAAGATGTCGGATTTGATGAGAAAACACCTTGAACAAAGTATGGGAGAAAGCCAATAAAGAAGAAAAAGCCAAACAATTTAAAAGCCAAACCCAATTGGTGAGGGTGGAAGGAGAAAGATCACGAACAGAGGATGTCTGCCATGGAATAAAGAGGGGAAATGAGCAGAAGAAAGGTATGTGGGCAATATAGCAGCAAAGAGCATGTACAGGACATAGAAGTCTATTGGGATCAGATCGAGGATAAAAGTGGGAAATGGAAGGAAGAAAAATCATCGAAAAGGAGAAGTTACCCTCTCAAGCTGCCAAAGTTTTGAGGAGGAAAGAATGATCTGGATAAAGGAGAATATATGTGGAATGATAAAGAGTACACGAAACATCGATGGAAAATACATCTGGCCTCAGACATCCACAGGCTAAGAGGAGAAGGAAATAAGTCTTAAGGTAGAGGTGAAACAATGAGCAAGTGGATAGTGGTTTGAACAGAAACAAAGTGAGGCAGTGAAGGATAGCCTGCTGAGGTGGACAAAGAATCCAGAAGGAACGCATCAAAAGAAAAAGAGTAAGAGAGGTAAACACACTACAGTATCGGGAAAAACAAAAAGTGTGGGACAAGGCTGCCCAATAACCTGAGATCAGAAAGACAGAAGACCCCCTGATCGAAAAGCCAAGTGAAATCTGCAATATGAGGAATAGTGGGTTGAGCAGCTGAAAACCCTTGACCCAAAGATCAATGGCAGAAAACATTCCACTTAAGTTGATAAACTTCTCTAGAGGAAGGGCAAAGGGAACTGGCTATAAAAAGAAGCTACTCATTGGGACAAACCAGATCTCCTTTCATAAAGACTAGATAAAAACCAGGTGTGAAGATGGTATTTGTTGGTCCAATCCTGACTGAAAGCATCTACAGCCATAGCAAGAGAATGAGGGACCAAAGACCAAAACAGAGGCAATTTGTTGTTGAGAGACGTGCAAATGCATCAATGAGAGGAGTACTCTACTGAAGGCAAAGCCACTGGAAAAAAGAAGATTGAGAAATAACTTCGTCGGATAGACTTTGTCTGGATTGGAAAGCTGATCCACAAAGTGATTGAAAGCACTTGGAACACGACATGCTATAATATGAATATCTAGCGTGTGGGCCCAAAAAAGTAAATTCAAAGTATGAAAACATAGGATTCGAGAATGGATGCCACTCTGGTGATTGAGATAAACAACCACTGTAGAATTTTTGGAATGGATCATTAACACACGATTTCTGGCCAGATGGAGAAAATTAAACGAAGCATGACATACAGCAAGAACCTCCAAGATGTTGATATGAGAAGACTTCTCGGCTGCAGACCAGCATCCTGAAGCTTCTAGTTGATCGACCCATGCCCTCCTGCCCTGAAGGGACACGTCTGTGAAAATGTGTAAATCCAAACGAGGTGGAGGAAGTGGGACGTCTTCGAATGTGTGAGTCTTGTTCAACCAATGCAGATCACTTACAAGGGTAGGAGGAAGGAAAATAGAAGCCTCCAAAAGATCCCATGCAATATTCCACTGGTCGCGAAGAGCCAACTGAAGAGCCTGCATATGTGCACGACCTATGGGAATAATGGCTGCCATGGAAGACCACATCCCCAAAAGCAATAAAACCTTACAAGCTGTAATAGTGGGAGCAGTAACAGCGTGGAGAACTGAAAGTCAGAGAGGAGAAGGCTGGGCCCAACTGAGATGGGTGTTGAAAAAAAACACCAATGGACAAGATATTGGATAAGCTGAAGGAAGGACTTCTCCAATTTGATTAACCAGCCCATTCAAGCCGCCTCCAGCATCATCCGATGATTGTGATGGGTAGATGTGTTTGAAATGAGCAAAAAGCAGCCAGTCATCCATGTAATGATGAAAGCAAAACCCTTAACCATGTAAGTGACAAGAAAATGCTTTGACCACCCAACAAAAACATACGGGGCTGAAGCAAGCCCGATGGGCAGTGCACAAAACTGATAAACCATCCAATGGTGAACAAACCAAAAATAGCATCACAATTGAAGAGATATTTGGATATGCATGTAAGCATTCACAAAGTCCACCTTGGTCATCCACAAACCTAGAGAAAAATCCCACCTGAACATGAGAAACAACTCCATGGTAAAATAGGGCAGAATCAAAAATGATTGAGGAGGGACAAATCTATTACAGGCCGCCAGTCTCCGGTTTTCTTGGGGACAACAAACAGCCAGGAATAAAAGCCTGGAGAAAGATGATGGTCAGGTTCTATGGCCTGTTGAAACAGAAGGTCTTGTACTGCCTCAGACAGATGCTGACTGGTAGTAGGATCCTAAGGCATTGGGAAGGAAATGGGTACCTGAAACAAAGGAGGGGAGAATGCGATTGTATGCCAAGTCTCTTGGACAAAACCCTAATAACACCTGGATCTGGTCCAAAAGGTCTCCAAAAGGGAACAAATTCGGACAAGCAAGCTCCCACTGGACCAAAACCCACCAGATAGTCACCAGTACTGTTGGCAACGTGCTCGTCTACATCAAATAAAATGACAAGATGAGAAGCCCCTGGATGGAAGAACAGGTAAAGGCTGAGAAGGACTAGGATGGGAAACAGGGACTTGTCTCAGCTCCTACAGTGACAAACGTGCAACAAAAGAGGAAAGAGTAGTGTGTTGATGCACAGACTCCACACATGATTCCAAAGTCTCAAGTACATCACCAAAAACATACCACCCAAGAAAAGGGCTGTACATAAATCCCTGAGATAAGGGAACAGTAAACGAACCTGTAGAAAGCAAGAGCCACAGACCACAAACGTGTCAACTTGGAGGTGAATCAGGAGAGCTCTCCCTCAAAAAACTGTTAGGATCTCTGTGGATCACCTCAGAAAGGAGAAAAATAGTAAATGAATATCGTAGAAGGGAAGTAAGGGTAAGACAAAGGTGGGAAACTGGGCATGGGATGGTAGAGGGCTACAGATCAGTTTGCATTTGTAGCATGCTGGCACCCTCAACCAACTGTGAAGCAAAATGCTCAGCATGAACCCTAATATCTGGGGAGGGTGGGAAAATCAAATACTGAGATGAAAAGGTCATGCAACAAAGAAGGACAGGGATGAAAAGAAATCGGGAAAATGGACAAAACATCACAAACCTGTGAAATTATGTCTTTTAAATTAACAAATAAAATTTAAAATAAAAGTTCAATAAAAATTTGAATGTGAATCAACAAACGAGATGACATGGCCTTTCCCCTGTGACTCATCTAGAAAGGTTAACATACATGCTAAGGGTCACCAAGTGTCCCAGAGAAGTCAGTGTTTGAACCTGATCCCCCCCCTATGTAATTCCCTGGTAGGGGTCACTGTTTGTCTTTGTGTC